TTTGAGAGCTGAAATTTTACATGAGGCACACTATTCATTATATATTATTCATCCATAAAGCAATAAGATGTATAGAGACTTGAAAGATATGTTATGGTGGCTTGGATTGAAGAAGGATACATCAAAGTTTGTTTTGAAATGTGAGGCAAGTTAGTTAGTAAAGGCAGAGCATCAATGATTGGGTGGTCTTTTACAATCACTATCTATTTCAAAGTGGAAATAAGAAGAGGTGGCTATGGATCTTGCTATAAGTTTTCCCATATCAAAATAAGGACATGATGCTATCTAGGTTATTGTCGATTGACTGACTGAATCTACACATTTTATTTTGATCTGAAAGACTTATCTAGTAGATTTGTTAACACAAATACATGTCAGAGATATTATTAGATTATATGGTGTGTTGAAGGTGATTACATATTATCGTGATAGTTGGTTTAACTCTAAGTTATGAAGAGGTATTCAATAGGGATAATATATGAAATTATACTTCAATACAACTTTTCATCTTCAAATAAATATATAATATGAGAGGACTATTCAAATACTGGAATATCTTCTAAGACTCTATATTTTAGATTTTAGGAATCATTAGGAGGATCATAGTTCATTGATAGAATTTACTTATAAGAATAGGTATTAGTTCATCATTGGTATGGCTCCTTATGAATCTCTGTATGACAGAAAATGCATGACCATTTTATGTTTGATAGAGATGACTGATAAAAAAAGCGATAGCGTCAAATTCTGTGGATGACGCTATAACAAATATTCGTTTGATCAGAGAAAGGTTGAGACCTGTATATGATAGGCATAATAAATATTATAATAAAAAATAAAGGTTGGTTTAATTTCATACTTGCAATTTTATTTATGTTAAAGTTAATCCTATCATAGCTGTTATTAGATTTGAAAAAATTAGTAAGCCAAGTATAAGGAATATTAGACCTTTTAAGATGATTAAGAGGATTGGTGGTTCTTCCTACATGTTATTATTACCTAATCATGTGCCAGACGATTTGTATATTCTCTAAGGAAGTAGGTATTTAATTTTGAGAGTTGATTATTTGCTAATGAAGTTGAGATTCATTTGATTCTGCAATATAGCGTAGCCAGATAGTATTACCTTTTGTTAAATCATTTGAAGATATAAAAAGATTCATAGAAATTGAGGATAGGATTACTTACTATTAAAATATTTTGGCATGTTCTAAATTGAGTTCAATTATACTTTACTTACTACAATGCATTGAAATATGTGTTTATTTGATTGAAATGTGGACTTTTGTTGACAGAAAGAAGGGATCATGTTATCTATTATGTGATAAAAACTTTGAAGCCTTAGGGCTATTTTGACATTTCCTAAGAAGGGATTCTATTGGCAGAATGAAGGGATTATTTTGGCAAAGAATGGATTTTGTTGGTGGTGAGAAGGGATTTTGTTGTTTGTTTGTATAAATTGGAAGATGGTGCCTAAGGGCTATTTTGATATTTGTTATAATATATTTGCTTATATTTTAGGTAATTTTAATATTTATGTAAATTCATTCAGTATTAGTTTATGTTTTACTTTCAGTTTTTGGTGCAATACTTAAGTTGATTATTTCAACATTTTCACCTCTTTTTGTTTAAGCTACTGATTTATGTTTTAGGCTATTATAGCCTACTAAGGTGTGAGCTCAATCCTTATTTTACTTCTATTTTTAGGCTGGGAAAAATGTAAGATGCTAGCTGAGTAATGTTGATATTAGGCTTTGATCTGTGTTATGTGTATAACTTTTTTATTTGTTATATTTTTGCAGACTTGGCTTTTATGTTTTGCTAAATTTTTTATTATCAAACACTACTGTAGATAGACCTCAAATGGTATATCTATATTTGAATGACATATAGAAAAAATATTTTTTGAGATTCAGTCTTTCACTTTATATTGTACTTAATATTGTCTATGTGTTGCATATATTGAAAGCTTAATTTTTCTCAGCAATTCTCCAACAAGATATTGGGATTATTTTTTGGCTTTTTGGTTCTTTCCACGATCAGGCTCAATATGACCTGTGTGGTATCGAATCATATTGAATTGGATTATGACATCAATATCAATATCTAGTGTTGAGGTTAATGCTCTTGTTCACAAGTTTTTTTAGACAATTTAATTTAAAGATTCTTCTAACATATCCACTCTTACGATGGTTTTGGGAGCATGCTTCAATGCTCCTTGGATCTTACTTGTGGTTTTCCATTTTTGATAGTTTGTCTCTGGTGTTCAGATGGTGTCTTCATATAATTAATTTTACGGATTCTTCTAGTATATCCTCTCTTGTGATGGTTCTGAAAGCATGTTTCATAGCTCCCTAGACTATCCTCGTGATTCTCAATAACATTTTCTTTCTTAAATAGCTCTATTAATTACAATCATTTTATGCATCTCTTCAAATTAAGTGAGATATTTTTTGGCCTCTCAAAAAATATTTGCTATTATTTTAATAGCTCATCAAATTAATTTCTCTTAAACCATCATTTAATTTGCTGTGCTATTCATTTTGGAGGCATAAGTAAATCTTTAATGAGCATGATCAATATCTTCAAAAATAAATGCATAATTATATTGATAATAAATTTTAAAACATTATTAATATTTATTTTAACATATAATTATTTAAATAATTAATTAAATATTTATATTTGCTCAAATTTTAATCAAGTAGCATACTAGCGATCATCAAATTTAGGGAAATTTTTTAAACTAAGCATCGTATTAATTATAATTAAGCGATTAACCAACGAAAAAAAAAAAAATTTAACTCCCAAAATCCCGTTTTAACGGCGACATTAATTTGAAGTAAAGTCGCCCGTTGAACGGGCGACTTATCCCTCCATTAAACTAAACTAACCGTTAATTTCATAAAGGATAATGTAATTGTGTTAAGTCGTCCATTTGAACGGGTTGACTTTATCTTATATTATAAAAAAAATTGCAACTAAAAGGATTATGATTAATTATTATATATCTGTTTTATGAATAAAAGTTGGATTTGGTATATATATTATATATATAAGAGCTAATCTATTTTTTCAGTTTTTGGTATATTTAGTATTCAAATTTTAGAAAAGATTAGATTTAATCATTGCAGAAGTTATGTTACGCTACTAATTGATAACAATAAATTATAATAAGTAATATTATATATATTATTATTATATATATTATATATTATAATATATATATATAATATATAAATTATATATATATATATATCAAATATTACAAATTCTTTAAAAATTTATGTCTCTTGATTCATGCAACATTATGTTTTTTTAGACCAAACTTCATGTAAGAGTAATAGAAAGCATAATAAATTTCATTCCATTGATAACGAAATAGTAGTTCATAGTAGCACAATAAGAAACAGAAAAACAAAATATATAAAGCAACTAAATAAATACATGATACAAAAAAACTAATGCCCCTTTTATGTCCGATGTGGAATCGCATCAGTGCCTGGAGTTAAAAATGCTGAGTGGCCTGTATGGCTGGTACGTAGATGGCGCTGGTCCTGATCACTAACATCTTGGCTAGAACTGGGGCTTCTCCAAGAGAAGTACGAACTGAGTGTGGAGAGCGATGTCAAACTCAGCATGCGAACTGGCTCTGAGAGGGACCAAGATCTGGATAGGAGGATGGCCCAGCATTCATTATGGATCTGCAGTCGAATGGCTGACTAAAACCACCTGAGTATCTGCCTCATCAAAAAATAATGAGCATCGTTCCTTGTAATCTTTGTCGTAATCTTGGCACATATCTTCCAACAAATTCACATTCCACTGTAAGGTTCCCTCAGTACCGCCAAAGTGTGGTTGCAATCTTTTCTCCATGCTCACAAAGAAATCTCGCTGCCAGGATAAGTAATTCAGCTAAAATTTTTCATATAATTAAATTTAAATAACTTAAACTTACCATGTGACGTTCAGCTAGCGATCTTGGATAGTATGTACTCGGAGGATCCACTGGGGGCTTTAGCATGTATAATGTAGCCCAAGAATGAAACCATGCTAAGTACTGCTTCACCTTATAATTATAGTCCAACCCAGGAATCTCTCCAATAACAATGTATGCTCTCGTGCTCTCTCATAGTGCAATACTTGCCTGGTGATACAATGCCCAATCAGTATCTGACTTACCACGTCCATCAACTCTTACAAAACTAGGATCCATTGGCATGATATCAGCGGAAGGGCAGTATCCAAATTGTCATAGTACTCGATTAGGGAGATGCCACTAAACCCTTTTCCAACTGATCAAAGGAACTCTGGAGAGCCAAGTGTCCTGACCTGAAGTGCATATCTCTAGAACCTGAGCACGAATCTCTGCAATGTATGGTTCCCATATTACCTGTATCATTTTTATATAACAATTTAATCTTCATAATATCGAACAAATATGATTAAAATGTACCAATATAATTATACTTAACATACCTGACTCTCCAGTAAGCCATCCAGCTCATCCCTGTATGTCATAACATTTCCTACAGGTACCTCCCGAAGTCGTTCCTCATTCCACACATTGCATAAAAAAATCAATTGACAAACTTAGTACATTTAACAAACGAAAGTAAGCTGACCTAGTAGGACAAGCTGCTTTGTTATGTCCTACCGAGTCGCATGCAGCACATTTTCTGTTACTTGAACCTCTTCCCTCGTCCATTGTATTCCTAAAACGATTTGTTCTAGGTCTCCCAGAACGTCTTCTAAAATTTGGTGGTAAGAGTGGGTGTATACCACTTGATGGATCATGTTGTGCCCAAGTGGTCCGATCTGGAATATTATGAAATTGACCAACATATGTCATTTTGTAATTATCTAAGCTGTAGTATTTTGAGACGTAATTGTAGTGAATTTTCCTTAGCATTGATATGCAAGTAACAATGTGTGCGCACGGGATATGAAATATAATACTTTTCCCACAACTACAAATGCAATTCTCATTATTAATTAAATCAACCCTGAAAGATCGAGATGACATGTCAACCACTTGAAATTCTCGCATATTGATTCGAATGGGTTGCGGTAACATGCGTGCTTCTTGCTCGATCTTTCGTAGTGTTGCTTGGACTCTTGGTGCGAAGGGTCTGCTTGTTTCAATTTCAGAACCCTCTAACATCTCTATTCTTCGCAAATGCAATGCTACAACATTATAGTATATTGCTGTAACTAATGCTTGAATGGGTAAACCCCTAGCTCTTTTAAGAACTCCATTAAATGACTCTGATGCATTAGTTGTCATAACTCCATAACGAAATCCACCATCATAGGTTAGAGCCCACGATGTAACATCACGCTCTACCAACCACTGGTGAATATCTGCCTTCACCTTTATCATATCTTTCATGCATCTATCAAATACCATTGGGTCATCAGTGTTCCCGGCCATGTACATCTTTTGGCATAGAAGCTCAATGTCACCAACAACCATTCGACGAACTGCTTTTTTTTAAATTTTCACGTAGGTGACGAAGAAAGTGGCGATGTGCAGCATTTGGAAAAATTTCACGACAACCTCGGACCAAACCAGCGTGCCTATCGAAAATAATGCATAAATCAGGTCGGGTACTAACAACTGGAAGTAATACATGCAATTGATTCAGAAACCAGACCCACGAATCAACACATTCTGATTCTACAATTGCAAAGGCGAGGGGATACAATCCATTATTAGCATCAATTCCCACAGCGGTCAGTAACGTGCCTCGATATTTGCCTAACAAGAATGTGCCATCAAGGCAAAGAACAGGGCGATAGTAACTCCAACCATTTATCGAAGGTCCAAATGAGAAAAATAATTTCTCAAATCCATGATTCTCAGACGATTGTATCTTATAAATTGTTTCAGGCATTGAAAACACAATAGCATCCATGAACAAATTTATGGTTCGGTAAGACTCCTCCCAGCTACCAAATACTGTTTTCAATGCTTTTCGTCTGGCATCCCAAGCTTTCATATAAGATACTTTTATATTGAACTTTGCTTTAATTTGACCTATAATCTCTCGTGGCTTGAGATCCATATGCCTTCTGATACTAGGCAATATAAAGTAGCTTATAAATTGAGAATTACATTACCTATGTCCAGTTGCTAGAATTGGGGTTGCACAAGTATGTTGGTTCTTCATTGAAGATATTTTCCATATGCCTCCCAGACGTTTGCTTACCCCCGCATGCAAACGCCATAAACATGGTATGTCTGAAAAGGCACTCTGAGCACAAATCACTGTTAATTTCTTTCTGTTTGAAGCTACAATGACATACTCCACATTATTTACTATTGACCAACCCTGCAATGCAAATTGAAGATCCTCTTTCTTGGTAAAACACATACCCTCCATCAATTCTATTGGAATTATAAAATTTTCCTCGACTTGGCTACCAGCATAAGCCCTATCATTTGCGACATCCTCATCCCAATCTCGAGTTGATGAATACGCCTTCACAAAATCATTGTTTACAGTTATTCTTCGTAGTGCCAAACATTCGTGAAAACAATTAACGTTGGACCATGGCTCATGATCTTCAGGATTCATCCAACATTAAACTTCAGTCTAATGACTATTGTGCGTTTATTTCATAATCATCAGGACCTGGATCACTGATTCCATACTCATTGTTCATAACCATCATAACATTAACCGATGGTCTACTTAAGAAGATTCTGGAATGTCATGGCAAAAAACTTCTTATGCCGGTCACTTCATCACGTTATACAAAAAATATTTTGAAACAATTAAAATTTTCTCAGCCTATAAATTTTATTTAAATGCATTAAAATAAACATATATGAAAAACTTTACTCAACATTTTTATGGCATGAAACTTGATTGGTCGGACTGTATTCATTCACCCGTCGAAAGTTTATGCTAAGCATGTGGCTGTTAGTTAGCTCAACCAGACCTAATATTTTCTAGATAGTAATTTCTTTGACCTCTAATTAAGTAGAAGTATTGCCCAACGCATGTGATTAACACCATCTGGAAGCACACCTCATCATCGTCACAAACCGAAAGCTATACTCATTCCCAAGGGTAAACGCAAAAACTAAGTTTACTGCCAGCTCACTTCGACGTATCATATGTTAGGATGTCTCAGAATCTCTAATCTTCAGTTGCTCTACAGTCATATCTTGCCAGGATACTTGCAACGCCATAAACTACCCCCACATATGTTGCGTGAATCATTTATCATCTAAAACAAGTGCCCACCATACATTCAAGAACAAAGGATGCTTTCCTCTCCAGACATTGTTTGCACTTACTAAGTATAGTTATGATTGTACCTACCAATTTACCCATACACAATCCACTTACTTCAACAAATAAATTCACACATAGCCAATTAACTAAATATATTAAATAGATGATTTTTATTCACATAAAGATTAACTAAAAGAATTTGCATATAATTCGTATTTATATTTAATTTTTTTATACAATTATTCTCATCATATATTGAAATTAAATATTTTAAAAAATTAACTTATATTTAAAAATTTTCATTTAATCCCTCAAACCATTTAACTATTTTATACTAACTATTACCAATTATTGAAGGTAAATGGAATGTTGTCCCTTTATAAACGTACGTTAAGCAAATGCATGTGAAGTAACCATCCTCCAACATTTAACTTTCTATTTTAATAGGGAAAACCTTATATCAAAATCTAACCCTAACACAAAGATATGACTTTCGTAGTCATATTTGTCAAAAAAATTCGTGTTGTCTAAGAAACGAAAGGAAATTAACAAAAAATATCCTTATATTAATTTTAAGATATCTTTAATACAAATTTTATTCAATTATACATGTATTATTTTATTTTTTTCCAAAAAATTTTTCATATAATATATGCTCAACATATTATATATCTCAAAAAAATGTAAATCTACATTTGCCCAAAAGAATCCTAGCAAAAATTAAGTTCTTTCCACAAATCAAAAAATTCCTCAAGCTTTCACAATAAAATACCACTTTGCACACACAAAACCTAAATCTAAGCACTAAAGGAACCCTAAACTTCCAACATAAGTCATTTAAATGAAAATAACCACTAAAGGAAAGAAATTTAACACAAAAAATTCCAAAAAAAACTTTTAAAACTACCTTACCTCACGGATTTGCCCAGATTTGCCGAGAGACTCCGAGACTTGAGGAAGAAACAAACTCTTTTAGGGCAAGAAAAGGAGTCTTCGCGGGTGTATAAAGTGAAGAGTAAGTCGCCCGTTTAACGGGCGACTTTGGCGAGTTTAAAATTTTTTTTTTTCGTTGGTTAATCTCTTAATTATAATTAATATGATGCTTAGTTTAAAAAATTGCCCTCAAATTTATAATATCAAGCCTTTTATAATTTGATTGTTTATAAATGAGATAGCTTAATTGTACTCAAAATTGATATATTTAACCTTTAATTTTTTTTTAAATTCAAATATATTTACTTGCTAACTTAAACCAATATTAAATAAATCAATTTCGAGTTAATCCTTGAATGCATTATTCATTTACTAAGCTCTACCTGATCTTCGGTAAGGAATTCCATGAATCCGACATAAAAGAAAAATATGGCAAGCTTTGCCAAAGTTTCAGAAAAAGAGAGATTATTCTGTGTCTAGATCGGACGCAGAACGTCGTCCGGAGACCATTCAGAATGCATCATATCAACAATACTAAGCCGCGGTGCGGAGCAAGTGGGGATGTGGTCATGTAGCGCATTCTACTTGGTTTCCCGACGCGGTGTTCGGCGTCCGCACAAAATAATTTCTCCAAGAAAAGCCTACTCCAATTTTACATCCGCTGACGCACATGCCTTCATTCAAAACTTTGCTGATGCATAAGGAGCACCAAAACCAAATAAGCCCAATTGATAATCATTTTCATAGTTGCAACAATTGAACAAAGGAAACATTCCAAATGCTGAAAACCTGAACAGGACTTTTATTCAAACAACATAGTTTGAAAGCATTCACTGTCAAGCACTTTTAAAGCAGAATAAGAGACAACCCAAGCATATAAGAGCGATGACACGCCTTTTACACGGTTACTTAATCAGAAAAAGACACAGAAGCTTAAGGAGGGGTATTCACCTCCCTCAGTTCCATCTTCCATCTCTTCCCTGCTCCATTAGCCAAAGGATGGATTCCATGATCCGGTCCACTCATATAAGCCCTGCTCTCCCTCTCCTTCTCAAATGAGACGCCATATTTCTTTTCAACATCTTAAAGAACCACATGAGTCGTTAGGGAAGTAAGAAAGAATTCAAAAACATGGCAAACAGAAGGGTAAGCAATAAGCATGAGAGCTCTTTGCGTCTTGAGAGAGTAACGCAAAATAGAAAAGAAACATGAAAACAAGAAATCTACAAATCTAAAATACCATAAAACTCCGAAGAATAAAAAATCCAAAAGTCAAATGTCGCCAAAGTCAACAAATCAAAAAAGCCCTAAATATGCTTCTTGATATTTTATTTAGAGGATTTGGATCACTTCAGGAAATGCTACCACCTAAGAGAATAAAAAATGAAGCATAACACTGTGTAACATGACTTATTACAGACTATCATGAACACGTGACTTAGCTAATTACTTCTGCATAGATGTCTGTATATTTCAGTCTTTGGAAATGAATCGTTTGTGCAAGTCTTTATGTGCGCAAGCATTGATCTAGTCCTCGAGTCCCGTAATCAGGCAAGTCAGTGAAGAGGACTCCTCTGGTCATTGTGACGAGTCCATTGGGACAGGATTCTGAAATCTAGAAGCAATAGGGTGAGTCCTCTTAGGTGGAAGAGGCCGCAAGCTAAGATGCTCATATTTGAGAAATCGTAGTTATAGCCTTTGAAATATGCGCTTCCTATAGGTGGATTGGAGTTGTCTAAGATGGTCGAAGAGCCTTGACAGTGCAAAATGATTATGGATGAACAGTTCCTATTGAGGTGAGGGGAGTTTAAGACTCAAATAGGCCTGAGCAAGTCCACTTGGGAGACCTATTGGATGTGAAGAATCCTTGGTCTTTTCATCGCAAGCAATTCTTCACATCATTTCCACATTGGGAGATTAATCGCGACTCTATAGGATGATTCCTACCACCTTGTTGGTCAACTAGCTTTTTTTGTGTCAAGTGCTTCTCCAAAGAGGTGGAATCAATTAGGGAAAATGTTCTAACAAAAACTATTAGATACTTGTGAAGTATCTACATGCGCATGTACAACCATACATTTAATTCCAACATGTTTCATTTGACCCTTTGAAAAGTGAGTTAAAAAAATGATATGTGAATTAAATATGAGTATTTATTGCAATCAGCACATGGTAAAGGAGTGAAAGTGAAATTTAGTGTTATATTTATTGCAACCTCCGGAATTGTGCATATTCCTCATTATGGCCTTGATTTGACCCCATGTAGTGTCTTTAACTTTAAGTATCTATGTGAGGGGTGCAATGCTACTATAACTCTTCTCGAATTGCCTTTCAATTATGTCTGACTCATTTTTAATGACAGACTTAGACCCATTTAAGTTATCCAACTCGAGCCTTGTGATTCTAAAGAAGGCGATCTGTGAAAAAATAAATTGAAAGAGGGTCTAGAGAAAAAAATAAACTTCAATAATAAGAAAGAGTCACTGGACATAAAGGAGAGAGAGCTAGTCGGACCAGGACTGAGTGAACAGATGGTGCCTTTGAAGGAGGAGGTTAAGAAAGTAGAGATGAGCAGGGCAGCACCATCTAGAGGGAGTCCAAGGAAAGTGCTCCTTTGATCTAGTTTGAACAACATTCTATTGACTTTAAGGCAATTAAGGAGATCCCCCACTAAGCGAATAGCTTTAGGCATGACCACTCAAGTGGTGGCCATTGTTGAGATGGAACGTACTCTCAGGTGAACTAGCCCTTTGACAACCAAGATTAAGGGTAAGGAGAAATACTGCAAAATTTTTTTGTGAACAATGCTTGGGGTTAAAGCATCGTCAACAACTAGCGAGCCAAGAGTGTACTTGTCATTGAGCAAGGTTTTGGGTCACCTACTGAGTGAGTTTGAAGCATTGGCTTTGACACAGTGGCCTTTCGGATTATACATGAATATGACTATTCTACATGATGGGCTACTAGCAGTCCCTTTTATGTTTTTTACAGCAAAAATCTTCTACTATTATTCCTTCATTATTTATCGTAGGAGCATCTTCCCAAACAATCAGTAATGCAAAGCATCAAGTGTGTTCACTAATGGAGGTCTAGGCTATGGTGAAGGCCATGAAGATCCCAAAGGATGATGATGTTGGAGTGCTGGTGGCACCTTCAACTCAAGAACCTTGAGCAAGTCGAGGCGACTACAAGAATCCCTATTTTCTAAGTCTCAATTGAAGATGGGATCAATGTCCAAGGATCACTTTGGAGGGCCTTGTCGAGCGTGTTAGTTTAATGGAAAAGATTCTCAATGTTCAGAGCATCCTTAGTGTAGTTGGGACCTCTCATAGGCCAATTAGTGGAGACGTCATGATCCCCCACTGCCGGGAGATGGATGTGCTTCAAGTAGAGATGGTGACTACTCATCATCTTGTGGAGATGTCAAGTTCAACCCAGTTTATCATAGGAGGAAAATTTCACCTGTAATACCAAATAAATAAGTGGATGGTAGCTCACGAGTTAGTGTTAGATCTGATTTGTAAAATTTTTTGTTTGGACGAGTAGGTTTGTCCACTTTTCTTTTTCTTTCTTCTTTAGTGATGTTTATGCAATGTAAAAAATTTTGAAGTAATTAAGTTAAGTTTCTTTGTGTATCTTTCTAGTGAGTCTATGTTTTTGCTCTTTCCTTTACCTTCTTTATTTTGTTGTGGCGCCTCCTTTGCATCATGTATACTGTACACCTTATTATTTTCTCAAAGTCCAAATAAATGATTTAGATTTTGTTTAGCTCTTTGATGTTGCGAGTTAGGAATAACTCAAGATATGATGAGTTGAGCGTGATTTTAGATTTGAAGAGTTAGCAGCGACTATTAACAAGAAGTGAGGCGAGTCAAGCCTAACTCCTTGCGACCCAAAATGGGGTTGACTGTACATTTTTTCTAGGTTTGGGTGATTTCTCAAGTTCTTTAAGATGATGACCTTGCATGATGGAGAATAAGGAGATGGGAGAGAGCAGCCATTACCTTGGCTTCGTTCGGTATTTAACGACACAAGAATGGTACGATCCCACGGAAGTTCCGCAGGAATCGCGGAGAAGCGATGCTAGCGGCGTCGAACAGTCAGGTAACGAGATTTCTTGCGGGATTTCGGGCAGATATCGCGAAGGATTTCGTGGATTCACCGGTCTTTCTCTCTTTCTCCTTTGGTTTCTTATACAGAGGTCAACAAATCTTTTGATAATAATGAAGATACGGGCACAATCTAAATGATCAATGGTAGACGTGAATAAGAGATTAAAACTTAAACCATTACCTCCCCTACAAATATCGTCTTGTTTGAATACGTGGTGTACAACCGTCTACTTTGTTTAGTGTTTATGGTCTTCAATTAACGTTTATGTTTAACGAGTTAGATAGTTATCTTTATAATTCTTTTAAGGAACTTGCTAGTCCTTTCTAACAACTATTTTAAATTATTCACTATTCTTCCTCCATTTTATAAGCATCCTCCAAGACCAACAAACCAACAAACCATCAACCAAAATCTTACATCCACCGTAGTCCACTCCTTGAAGGTCTTGACCAAATTAAGGAGAGTTGAACTTAGAATTCTTTCATACACTTCAACACCCCCTTAAACTCCATCAAACATTGTCATTTACTCCATATCACTAGTTAGCATCCTAACCCAGCCATAAACTCCATGCTTTTATACCAAGTAAAACTATTTTTCTAAAAGTGATCCTCCAAATCAATTGAAATAAACCCAAGTTGAACTACTCAAAATCCAATCAATCTAACCTGAATCTAAATAACAATTGGCCTAATTTACAGATTTCAGGCCAATCTAAACCCGGCTCAAAATTAATTTGGAGAACTCAAAACTAAAATCTTCAAATCAGATTTGAATCGAGTAAAATTTATTGACATCTCTCTCTCTCTCTCTCTCTCTCTCTCTCTTCTCTATATATATATAATATATATATATATATATATATATATATATATATATATATATCCAATACGGGTTAGTTTTTAAGGATTACGACCATGTTGTAAATAATAACATAATTTCATAAACATTGATATTTAAGTTTAGATGCTACCTATAAATTTGTAGATATATAGATGTGGGCTATCAGTCAAATAATAAAAAACTGAAAAAAAATCTCATAATAATCTACAAATAAGAAAATATTGAGCCAAACACATTACATATATTATACAAAACAATTGTTTGAGTAAACTTGTTTCTTTTTATGGAATGGTAACAAATTTTCTAACTCGAACAATCACTTTGGTTGACCGTTGGGCCAAATGCAGATTATAAATGTTATTACTATTTACATAAAATTGAAGCAAAATAACGCCCACGAAATCCAACTTGAAATGCTTCTAAACCAAGAGGAGAAGCCAAATCCCAATATGAAATGCAGCAATGATCCTAAACCGGATTTGAGAAGGTTTATGCAGAATTTGAGCGATTTATGCTAAATCTTGCCTAATGGGATTTGAGAAGCTGATAAATCTCAAGGTGGAATAAATTCAAAATCTCTCTTTTTTGCATAAATTTTAGATAAACTAAGGCTTCGTTTGGGATGGCTTTCTTTTTGCTACTTAAAGCAACTTTTTAGTAAATTTTTTTTAATTTTTTCTATTAAAAAACTTCTTTGAGAAGCAGCATAGAACCATATTCTTTGAGAAGCAGCATGGAACAGAAAAGTGTTAATTATATTATTTTAAATTATAATTTATTCATAATAATTAAAAGGGGGATTTACATTCATACCACTTTATTTCACACTATTTACATATCTAATACCTAAAATATTAATATTACATGCCTACCATCCATAGTACAAATTTGAATGCATAGAATAAAATATTAATGTTTATAGGATGGTATATTTGGTATGAATGAATTATAAGAGTGATATATTTGATATTAAAGTTTTATATGGGTGGTACGAAAATAATATTAATGTTTTGGGTGTTAGATATGTAAATAATATGAAATAAAGTGGCATGTATGTAAATTTCTCTAATTAAAATTATAATTAATAATTAACTCATATTTAAAATATAAATTAAATTAAAAAAACTAAATTAAAGTTTAATTTGAATTTATAATCAACTAATCATCTTAAATTCTGATTTACATTGGTAAATAATTTCAGAGTATTTATCACGATTTTACTACTTTTGTATCAAACAAATTTCTGTATTTAAGAAAATCGGATTGCTAGGATTTAACATAAGGGGCTGTTTGGTATCGGATTTGGCATAAAATTTAAGCTGGATTTAACAAAAAACCAGCCAAACGGTTTCCTGCGCACTTGTAAACCCTGCGATGACATAAATCCTGAATTTATGGATTTACGGCATAAATCCGTATAAATCTGAGTAAATCCAAATCAAATTCTTCGGCAGATTTGAGGTATTTACCAACTATGAGATTTATGACTCGCGCGGCATCCTTATCGTGGAGAAAGATGGTTACCTTCGCAACGAGCGATATCCCGTAGTGTCTTTCGATCCGACGTCGGAGGAGGAGACGACAAAGCTTCTATAGCGACTCTTTCAACACTACTTCACACTATGCAGGCGAGGCCGAAGCAGCAACGATATATCAACTTCTCTATCATGTTGAAGTAAACTATCATGTAGTAGTCTATCGCCGTCTAAATTTATAACTAGCTTATTGATATAATTTAGTATTATTACTTCATATTTAAATCTCTAACTGTTTTGAATTCTGGAATTTGTTGCCAAAAAGCTTCTCATAATTTAACAAGATTTAACATTTGTCATACCGAACAGTTTTTAGGATTTAAAAGTCTCAGGATATACTAAATCCAGATTTACAAGATTTATTAAATCCCACTAAATTAAATCCAATCTAATACCAAACAGACCCTAAATACTACTTGAGTTAAATCCTGCTTCTTGCCAAACAGGCGCTAAAACCCCAAAAAAACCAAGCGAATCAACAATACCTTGGGCGAGATCCTTATGCAGCTGACCGTCTCCAGTAAGTGCCATCATGAGATTAGGTATTCCCAAAGGAAGTTCATCACCACGATCAACTTGCCAAAAATGGAAGGTCTTCCCATAGGTCTTGGCAACCTTCTCGAGATCCCGACGCTCGACGATCCCAGGGACGCCGGGGAGGAATAATAATCCACTCTTTACCTCATACTCATGCGAATGCCAAAGCGGCTTCTCCTCATCGGGGAGGTTGAGAAAGATAGGCTCGGCGATGATATACTCGACGCCGATTAGGCGTGCGCCGGGTTCCGGCGAGTCAAAGATGAGACATTGGCGGACGTCTTCGTTGACGTGAGAGCAGAAGTGGTGGGCTTCGACTTGGCGGGTCATGTCGTCGGCGTATAGGTGGACAGCACAGAGGTGTTGGTGGATGCGGGAGATGGGAGCAAAGGATTGTATTGCTCCAGTTAAGTTCTCGATGAGGGTAGTAGACAGTGGGGTTGGATCGCCGAGAACGCCGCCGGCAGAGGCGGCAGGGGCTGACATTGACGGGTGTTTGATTGAAGCTTGTGGTGAGATTGATCCTTATTTTGATGGGTGCAGCTGGTTTACTTTGAGTGTCGTTTATGGGCCGAGTCGGAGGCATGCAGGGGCACGCGTGTCGGGTGCCTGGGCTAGCAGGCTCGGAGTACGTGGATGGCGATTGAACTATCAAGCTGCATCAAAATATGGGTATAGTAATATTATAAAAATGAAATATTGTTCAAACAAATATAAAATCTTTTTTTTTTTTCCCTTCTTAAAACATAATCATTTACTGTAAAAAAAAAAAAAAACTAAAAATTGAATCATAATCATATATCTATGCCATCCTCACTCCAACATTGCTAATATAAATCTCAAGACTACATCTAAATCCATCCTTTCTTTCCAACTTATTTCTATATCATGCTCAACGAGAATCCAAACGCCATTTTTTATTCGAAATATGAACTATCAAATCGTAAAATATGAAGGGAAATAAGTTTTGAATTTTAAGGAAAAAAAAAGGTTTTGAATTTTAAGATTAGACTTTATTTAGGACGTTTCTTTTACTACTGCTATAAACAATTTTTTAGAAAAATATATTAACCCGCAGTAAGAAAGCCATTCTACACAAAGCCTTATTTAGGATGATTATTATTTTTTATAAATATAATTGAAAATTGTTGTGCGCAAAATAATTTTTGAAAACTGTAATTTTCTAAGACAATTTTCTTGAAAGCAATGAGAAAATACTAACCAAATAGAATTATAGTTGGGTCTAAAGAGTAAAGTAGTAAAAAAAAATATAAAACAAACTCTTAATCACATATTAACCTCTTAGAGTACTTTTTTCATAGGAACAAAATGTATTGTTACAATAACCTATCAAATTGTTCGAATCATCAAAATAATTTTTTTTTTAAATCTCATTTATCTCTAGTAAGTTCTATGTTCTTGATTTACTAAGAATCTATTTAGAATGGTACAACTTTTTATAAAAGTGGTGACAAAACTATTGTGAGAAAAATAACTTTTTTAAAGTAGTCTTAAAAATTAGCTTATTAGCATAGAAATTTCTTAAAAAAAAACAAAAAATCAATAGCCAAATAGAATTGCGATTGCAAAATAGTAAGAAACCCAAATAGGCCCTAAATTCGTGTTGTTTAGCATATCTCAGAATTTTGGGGAACAAAGAGATTTTGTAAACCTATTGTTGCATTTACCTGTGGTTTCCTATCACAACATTCTTGCTTCTTTTATGTTTAGATTTTCAAATTGGAGTGGATGGGGGAGAAATGATGGTTTCAAAATTATTAATATGATGTAGTTAATGCCTTTACTACCAAGTTCCGATAACAACTTCTACATATCTTTTCATCTCGTGTTTTTGTACACTCATGAATACCTATGCAGGACCTATTTGTAGTTATCTTGCAAATTATGTTCAAGTCGAGCAATATGAGGATGCAATCCACTCTCGGAACATCTCATTTGATGGACTTGCCAAGGAGCTGGAAGGAGCTTAACACTAAAGCAAGGAAGACCAGGACTTGTCACGTCCTCCAAGTAGTTGCCAAACCTAGGGAAAAGGCGACCTTAGAAGTTCTTCTACTAGTTAGGCAAATCTTTATCCATCTAACCTAGAACTAAGACCTTCATACTCAATAAGAAAAAGAGTTATTGACACACATGGCCCCTTAGATGTTACTCTCTCTTCAAATTCAACAGGGTGACCCAAATTATACCACCATCTTTCATCAACATGGATGGATAACACTCACCCTCTTCCATCTCGACAGGGTGACTACAAATCATCATCCGTGCCTCCTCTTGTATTCGACTTGCTTGCTATTACCACAGATTGATGAGGCAGTTATGTACAATGTTATAAATTTTCTATCCTTCCAAACCCTATAAAAGGGGGAGGGTGGTAGTGGAAAAGGATTGAGATTCTAAAAAAATATTCATATTAGGATTCAAATTCTAATAAAATATTGAGATTAGGATTTAGATTCCCTTTTCTAGATTCCTTTCCAAACTCAAACTCTTTAATCAGAAGAACATATCATTTCGTTAGCTTTTCATACAAAGAGTGGGAAAGAAATATAAAGATTTATAATCTTTGAAATTTTACCTATGCTTTTGCATTATTCTTATCTGATATAGTTTGAGCTCCCTAGTCACGAGCTATTATTTTCACATTGTTCTTCTATTAATGTCTTTGGTAATAAGGATCTTATCTAAATCATATTCATCTTCTTTCATCTTTTCCTATACTTAACCTTCATGACATTCTCTCCAATGGCTCTTAATTGACATTTGATGCAAGTACAACCCGATATTATCCACCAAACAAAATAGGATTCAACATCCTCTAAGGTGTGGTGATTATGGAATCAATGTTGAAGGTAAGAAAACCATTATGTTCTGGCCAGTCTAAGCCCTAGAGAATATAATGAATCCTAAATACACAACACCATAATGATGGGAGCAGCACGTTAGAGAGAGAAACAGCAGTTTTTTCAAATTTTCGATTTCGCGGTTTTACCGCTATCCACATCGCCGGAAGTTGGCGATGACGGTGGATGGCCGCCGACCTCCTGTCGGTGGACTTAACATTTCAGGAGGCTCGAATGGACTTTTGGGAAAGAAGGAAGAACAGAGTCGGTCGTTTCAGCAATCTAAAACGATCAAGGTTCTTCTAGGAAGGGTGCTAACCCGTTGGTGATCAGAGAAGTTACAGATGGTCCGGTTAAGAAGGTGATTAAATTTGTAGAAGGAAAAGGTAAAAGCATCTTAGATAACTCTGATTGCAATTCTCTGGTAATTGAGAAGAACCGTTCAAGTTCTAAACCAAATGACGCTGAAGCTTCCTCCTCAGATTTTAAAATTTTTGTTAAAAAATTTGGATATTCAAATGCAATCTCTGACCCTTGGCCAGCGATAAATGCGAATACCTCCAATGAAGTTAACGAAAATTCTAATTCTGTGGATAAGCTACATTCGGTTCCTTGTTCTGATCATTTTATCAATCCTAACTTGCAATCAGAAAATAGAAGACTTTCTTCCATTGACAATTCTAACAAGGAAGGTGATACAGGTCCGAAAACTTTTTCTGGAAATGCTTGGATTAAACCTCAACATATTAAGCTTAATTATAAGATGGATTCTACTCCGTTATCTGAAGATGGAATTACAGTTTTAATGGATTCTAATTCAGAAAAAGCTAATTCGCAAGTCCTAAGAATCTCTCTGGTTATCAAAGTGTTGGGTAGTAACATCCCATTCCCAGTTTGCAGTAGAGAACTGAGGAAACAATGGTCTAGATATGGAAATTTTCATCTTACAACTCTGGGGCTTGATTGGATTCTCTATTCCTTCACCAAGGAGGAAGCAGTGGAAGAAATACTAGAAGGAGGACCATGGTATATAGGAGGCAATATTATTGGGTTGGACAAATGGTCACCCAACTTTTCACCTGAAACTCTTAAAGGACTTACAGCTCCTATTTGGATTCGTCTGCCTTGCCTTCACTTACATTGCTGGGATGAGGAAAATATTTGTAGAATTGCTTCCAAAATAGGCTCCCCAATTTACCTGGATGGTAATTCATTTAAATGGGGAAAAAGGGAGTACGCACGGGTCTGTGTTCGATTAAATTTGGATGAAAAATTTCCTAAAGGAGTTTGGATAGAAGGGTTGCATGGAAGATCATTCCAAAAAGTTGAATATGAAAGAATCTCTTCACTATGCTATCATTGTGGTAAATTGGGACATACAAAGAGCCACTGTTCTTTACTTATCAATTCTTCTTCAGTAACAGCTCCTGAGGTTATTAAGAAGAAAGTAAATTCAGCAGAAGAAATAGATAAAGACTATGTTCAAGATGAATTGGGACCATGGATTCAAGTCAAATTCCAAAAAAACAGGCAGTCGGGATCTGCTTATTTAAAGCAGAAATCAGATTATTTGAAGACATCAAGTAACAAGCAAAAAACTGTTAGGCAAGTCTATGTGCCACTCCAAGCTAATCTGGACAGAGAAGAGGGAGAAATCATTGAACCAATGCAGTTGCAAATTCCGGGTAATAAGGCCTTAAACTCTAAGGTGGATAGCTTGATTCCAGATGTGATTATGAATAATAGTTTCAGTGCTTTAGAAGAAGAAGTTCTGGATCATATGGAAGAAGGCTCAAAAGGCTTAAACCACTCATCGGATAAAGTTGCTTCTAAATCCTTGTTAGAACCAATTAAAAACTGTTCTTCTGCAGCAGTAGAGGGAAAAGATATTAACATTGAAGATAAAAATGTTAATATTAGGAGCATCATTGAGGCTGATTGTATGGAAAAGGCAAATTCTCATTCAGAAGATATCAAGGGGGTGGGTTGTTTGCGAACTCTTGTAAATCCTGAGGGATTACCTACGAACTCAAGCATACCCTTTCAAAAATCTGACTTCAAACTTCAAAAGGACCTGAAATCCTTGGGAAAGGATAACATTATCCCTAATGGTAGGAAAGGAGGAGGATCCACTAAAGGTAAGAAAGGGAGCAATCCCATTTCTTATCAATCATGACTTCCATAATGTTTTGGAATTGTAGGGGGGAAAGGAAGAAAGAGGCCTCCCGCTATTTGAAGGAATGCATTAAAGATTTTGATTTGATCTTTGTTGGATTATCTGAAACTAAGATATCCCTTTTTGATAGAAAAGACTGTGACAAGTTTATAGGAAAGCTTTGGGATTTTTACTGTTATCCGGCTGAAGGTATTTCAGGTGGACTCATTGTTTGTTGGAGAAAGGTTCTTGCCACTTTTTCCATCTTGGTGGCTTCTCCTCAAACAATTATTGGGGAATTGTACATTGCAAACAAGGGAAAATGGATTATTGCTTCTGTATATGGAAACAATGATTTATACAAGAGGAAGAACCTATGGAACACGCTTGAAGGCATATCCAACCCAGTTTTTCCAATTATCATTGGAGGTGATTTCAACTGCATTCTATCTCAGAAGGACAAACTAGGAGGGAAAAGATTCAAATACACTCAAGGAGTCCAAGACTTCAACAATTTCATTAGTTCATGCGATCTTCATGAACTAAAGTTTATTGGTCCAAGGTACACTTGGTGCAACAACAAGACAGGGGGAGCTAGAATCATGGAAAGATTAGATAAATGCTTCTTGACTTCGGCTGCTTTGCTTTCTATTATAAATCCAGTGGTTAAACATCTTCATAGAATAGCGTCTAATCATTGCCCCATTCTTGTAAACTTGTTTAATCCAGCTATTCGTAGAAAAAGGTTCATCAAGTATGAAGAAGTTTGGTCCTCTTATGCCGCTTCTACAGGTATTGTTAAAAACTCTTGGAAAAAAAATATGGTTGGTGATCCAGCTTCTGCTTTAAATAAAAAGTTTAAGAGAGTTTTGAAAGCTCTTTACCACTGGAGTAAAAACAAACACCAAGACCTGTTTGAATTGTAGTAAAGGCTGAAAAAAGATATCTCTGAATTGCAATTAGAAGAAGCAGATGCAGGGGGGTTGACTGAATACAAATTACAATTGCTGAGATCCAAAGTTCTACTGTTGAACATAACATTATCACGTTTGAACACCTGGTGGAAGCAGAGAGCAAAAACAAAATGGCTGAGAGACGGTGATTCAAACACCAAATGTTTTCACGCCTATGCTACGGGAAGGAGGTGTTCTAACTGGATTAATCAAATCAAAGGAGGTAATGGCGAAATAACTTCTGATCTATCAGAAGTGGAAGATATCTTTTTCAGCTTTTTCAAAAACAAATGGAGAGAAAAAGATTGCTGTCTTTCTGGTTGGCCGAAACCATTCAATGTACTTAATGAATTAGACAAGGAAGTCCTATTGAAAGATTTTAAAAAAGAAGAGCTTGATGAGGTGGTTAAACATCTAGAAACAAGTATTTCTCCTGGTATAGATGGGATTTCTTACTCCTTCATCAAAACCTTTTGGTCCATCATTAGCAATGATGTATGGAAGGCTATTATATCTTTCTTTGAACTAGGAATCATGTGTCCTAGTTGGAAGGAGAACTTGATAACATTAATCCCAAAAACAGGAAATTCGATGCTCCCTTCTAATTTCAGACCTATTAGTCTGTGTCTTTCAATTTACAAATTGATAGCCAAGATGTTATTAAACAAAATGTTATTCATCATCCCAAAACTCGTTTCAGAAGAACAAGCTGCTTTTATCAAAGGCAGATCTAGCTCTGAACACATTCTGTTAGCTCAAGAAGTTTGCAACAAATTTAGATTTTCCAAAGCTAAAAAAGGGCTAATGGCTATCAAAATTGACATGGAACCAGCTTATGATAGTATGAGTTGGTCTACTCTCACTCAAGTCTTGAAGAATTTGGGGTTCCCAGATAAGTTTGCTAATTTCCTCATCCAATGTGTTTCAAATACTAAATTCTCTATTATTATTAATGGAAATTATTCGGATTGGATTGAAGCCAAAAGGGGATTTAGGCAAGGTTGTCCTCTTTCTCCCTTTCTCTTCATTTTATGCTCTCAGCTTCTCTCAGATGAGGTTAAGCGAAATGGAAAAGAATTGGGAATTAGGATAGCTCCTAATGTTGAGAATATTTCTCATCTTCTTTATGCTGATGACATAGTTTTCTTCTTGAAAGCGAATGGGAGTTGTGTGAAGAAAGCAAAGGAAATTTTAAATCGGTACTGTAAATGGACTGGGCAAAGAATCAATATCCAAAAATCTTCCATTCTCTTTGGTAAGTCGGTTAAGAGAAAAAGGAAGAAAAGATTGTCCAAAATCCTGAAATTTAAAGTGGTTCAAGAACTGAAATATATTGGGATTAATATTATGCTAAGGAGGTCGACTAGGATGGATTTCTCTCATCTTTTAAACAAAGCTAACGAGTATATGAATGTTTGGGGTAACAAATACATTTCTTTAGCAGGGAAGATTCTTCTAGTCAAATCTATTCTGTCCTCCTTTCCAATCTACCACATTACTCACTCTTTAGTTCCTTTGAGTTTACTCAAAGAACTTGATAAAATGTGTAGAGATTTTATTTGGAATAAACAGGATGGTAGTAAAGGTCTTCACTATATTTCTTGGGAGGTTCTATGTAAGCCTCTTAATTTGGGTGGTCAAGGCATTCAATCTTTGATTTCTAAAGTTAAACCTTTAAGAGCAAAGTTCGCTTGGAAACTAATTTCAGGAGACTCATCTATTCTTTACAGTATTCTAGCTGCCAAGTAGGGTACTTTACCTTAGAGCTTTCAACTTAAAGCTCAAAGTTCTCCTACGATAAAAATTATCGTTAGTGGATCTCAAGCTCTTCAAGATGTATTGAGATGGAAAGTCTATAAGGGAAACAACATCAACATAATTCAAGATGTTTGGATTTATGACAAACCAATTTTAAGATAGCCCACTTTTATAGAAGACTTGGGACAGCATATCCAGCATCTGGATTTCTTCATACAGGAAGGAAATAAAGGCAGAGAGGATTTCTTCGGGCCTGATTTGATTGATATTATTAAAAATATCAAAATTTATCCTGATTCTATCCAAGATCAACCGGAGCTTAAATTTAGATTCTCAGGTAAATCAATTTCTTCATTAATTACTGAATGTTCTGGAGCAAATAAAGATGAAGATCTTACATGGAAATGGAGGAAAAAACTGCTGTTGAATCCACGTGTAAATATTTTCTGGTGGAGGCTTAGTTTAAATGCTATTCCTTCTTATAGTTTCCTTAAATCCAGAAATCTTTCAAGATTAATAGAATGTCCAAGAGGATGTAAAACTGAGGAGAACAACTTGCACATAGCGATCAAATGCCAAAAATTGAATCAGATTTTCTATATCTTAAGAAAATGGGGAATAGCTGTTCCTGTTTTTAATTCCATGGAAGATTGCTTTGTAGCTTTATCCTTAATGGCTGGTAATGATCCTTTTACTGGTAACATTTACTGTTCAGTGGTTTATTTAAATTGGATTAATAGGAATAAAGTGACTCATAAAAGTAATGAAGACTGCTCCTCTTTCATAGCTGCCAATGCTTTCAGTATGGCTTTAGCTTCCTTAAAAAATAATTCGGTTTACTGGGAAACTAACCAGCTTTCACAGCTATTAAGCCATTGGTTTCCTCCTCCAACCGAATGGGTTAAATTGAATATAGATGCTGCTGTTAAAAGTAACTATGATGCTGGAATAGGCGGAGTTCTACATGATCATAAAGGCAGATTTCTTTGTGCTTTTGGTATCAAACATAAGCATTGGGATTCAACCCAAATGGAAATGAAAGCCATCTTATCAGTAAAGGATTTTATGCTTCAAGAGAGATATGATTTCAAAGGAATCATAATAGAAGGTGACAATAAAAATATTATAGATTTTTTCAATAAAATCTATAATAAGCAAGCAGGATTTGAAGAAGATCTCGACAACTTGGACTTCTCATTTATTTACGAATTCAATCAGGTTTTCTTCAACTTTGTCAATAGAAATAACAATAAATTAGATGATTACTGTGCTAATTATGCTTGCTCCTTAGACATTTTTTTGGGATAGTCTCATTTGTAATAATGTTCCTCCTAGATTTTCCTTGTTACTCAAGTAGGACAGTGATTGTGGAACAATCACTTAGTTTCTTTTGTATTTCTTTTTAATAAAATTTTGCTATATGCATTCCCTAAAAAAAAAGCTATGGGGGAGCACCTCTTGAAGACCATTCAAGATGCTTTTGTCATGGCTAACCATCTACTTTCAGTAGTTAGTGTGTTCAAAGAAACATCCAAACACAATGCTCACCTAAAGCCTACAGAAGAACATCAAGCTAATCCAATCACCAATACCACTCACCTCTAAGTGAGAGATGAAAACTTCTATCTGATAGCCAAATACACTAAAGAAATCAAATTACACCAACCAATGCTTTTTCCAGACTGATCTTCAAAATAAGAGTGCCCCAACTTCAAGGTACCTCACCTTGAGGCTTACTAAGGCAAAATGGATCCCATAGCTCATGTGGAAAATTTTGATACCATGACTTCCTTCCTGGACATCGCTAACACTCTTTAATGTAATCTCTTTTTCATCGCTTTAAAAGATTTGATGCCAAGGTGGTTCACTCTCATACCCATTATGGTGATCACCTCCTTTGATTTCGAACGAATGTTTGTCGTATAATTGGCTAGTGCCTAGTGACGTTCTAAAAATTCTCAAATCTTTCTAAAAATGAGACAAGAAGTAGGCGAGTCACTAAAGAACTCCATATTGTAAATCCACAAAGAAATGCTCAATGCCAAAGACCTTCAGCCGATAGTCATTTTAGCAGCATTAACTTAGGGGATAAGAGAAGTTACCTTTTGATATACATGAAAGTGCACTTATGCCACTTGAAAGTTTGTTAGGAATATTAAGCCCTTGTGAACTAGCTCGAGGCTAACCAAGAGGGGGGGGGGTGAAGGGGGGGGGGGGGGGGGGGGGGAATTGGTGTTTTAAAAAATCTTTAAACAAATTTTCAAACACAACCAAACAATCACCACAGAAATTAAAGTGCAGAAATTAAATGCAAAAAATATAATAAGAAAGAATACACCAGATTTTATAGTGGCTCGGTCAACTTGACATACGTCCACTCCCCAGAGCCTCTCATCTGGGTATTTCACTAAATACAGTGTCTCTTCTTTTACCCCCACGTGGAGAAACACGTACAAAAACTCATTTCCATCAACCCTAGTGAGGGAAACAACACAACTCCTTTTGTTTTATCCTCAAGCAGGCAGAGAATCAAACTCCTTTTTCTTTCTCCTGAAGTAGGAAGAGAATCTCGATCAGTTGCTAAAGTAGACCTCTCTCGAACTTCCAAGGAACTAGGGAAGACGACCAGAGAAGATGACTCAGATTCTTGCTTAGATCAACCTTTGTGAAACCCCTCATAAACTCCCCCTTATATGATCCTCTCTCTCTCTCTCTCTCTCTCTCTCTCTCTATTGCTCTCCCTCTCCTTTTGGCTCTCTCAAGTCATGATAACAACAAAAGATTTTCTCTTGAGAAAATAAGATATCTTAAATAAAAGGGCTTCAAATTTTCCCTAATCAGCAACTAATCATCAAAGATTATCTAAGATGATTGACCGATCATCCTGTACGATCAGTTCAAATTTAGCTCAATCAGTCAAGACGATTTGGGAGAGTCTGGATGATGAGAAGGTTCATTTTTTCTGATTGTCCAGGTCGATAAGATATCATCATGTATGATTAGTTCAAGTCATTAAATATCATCAAGACGATTACCCTGGATGGATGTCTAGACGATGGAAAAAAAATTAGATCATCCAGGACAATCTCACAATCGTTCAGGTCGATTAGTACAAAATGACAAATATCATCCAGAACATCGCCCTAGATTCATGTCTGGACGATGAAAAAATAACTGATCGTCTAGGCCAATTTTAGATCATCTTGGATGATTAGTTTAATTTAGTACATCGTCCAGAGCATCATTCTGGTCATCCAGCTAGAACCTAAGGTTTCTTTAACTAATCATCCTAGATGATCCTGTGATCATCTAGGATGATATGATTGAGAAATTAAACCTTAATTGATTTCTTTAATTACCAAATTAATTTAGGCATAATTATACTACATCATCCAAGATGATGTCCTGGACGATGTCAAAAAATAAAGCATGCCTAAAGAGATCTAGCAGCCGATTCTTTCTGATTTGAGCCTATTATCCTAGATGATGCTAATATCGACCAGGATAATTTACTTAATTGCGACTTCCTTAACTAGTATGCTCTAATTAGGGTTTTCATTTTTAACTGATTATCTAGGATGATTTGGGATCGTCCCAAACGATGTGATCAAAAATAAAAAAACTCTAAAAACAGTCAGAATTTTTCTCCCAAGTGTATTTGTGCAAGGTTACTTAGCATTATAACCCATATTGTTTACAATTGACTCAAGAAAGGGTAAAATTAACTTAACAATAGTTTACAAATAGACTCAGTCATAGTCTATCCAATCTTGAGCTAGCTTAAGTTGCACTTAACCTTGTGAACTTGAACTATTAGTAGGCAAGGCAGTCGTAAAGAAACAAAAGTAACATAAATATTTGCTATCATTAAAATTATAATTCATGAATCCAGATTCGTAACAATATCTTCATTTTTTATGATGACAAACAATCAAAACTAAATAAAATATAAATATAAGTAAAATAGTACAATGAAACAACTCAATAAAACAGTATGATGAAACAACTCAAACACTACCCACTACTCCCCCTTTTGATATCATAAAAAGGAGGAGAAAATCAAAAAAGAAAAGCAGAATAAAAGATGAAAAAGAGGAACGAAAGTATGATCAAAGCACAAATATGATAAATTCTCTATGTCATTGAATTAAAAAATTATAAGAACAATGAGTTAACATCATTGAAATTAAAAAAAATGATAGAATAGTCGATCCTGTTAGCCCTAACTTGGACTTCTCTCAGGGCAAATCATCTTTTAAAAACAAAAGACCTAACTAAAAAAAAAAACCAATTGGATAAGAAAAACAGATTCGTTCATAACTTAGTTCCAGAAAAATATCTTATAGAATAATATACCAAAGTAATTTGTCACAATCACAAAATTTAAATTTAAGCCTTTGAAAGTATCAACTGACACATGAATTCTTCTCAGATTTAAAGGTTTGAAAGAGAAGAAAATTTGCCTTTTGTGGGCTCATTTTATGCCTCTTATAAATTGATTAGTGTACTTTATACATCTTTTAATTTTTGATACACTTTGTGTATCTTTCATTTTTTTATGGTCATTGCGAATCTTTTTAGTTTTTTTTCTTTGGGGGGCTCATTTTATGCCCTTTCTTTTTTGCAAGCTATATCCCTTTTCAAAAATCTTAAATACTATCAGTTGTGAGTATATCTTCCAGATATTAGAGAAGAAAAATTCACTATCTAGTATAAGGAAGAATAAACCATAAAACAGAATCAAAATCATATAATAAATACAATGACAATATTACAAAAAAATTGAAAGTAATATAAAGACTTTGAACATTATATATATAAGATAGATTACTGTAGCAATATAGAAAAGATCTCAATAATAAAGCACAGTTATTAATTTGAGATAAGTTTTTATTTAGATAAGAAAATTACACCGCTAAAAGAGGTCAGATGAAGAAAAATAATCAACAGTCTTTCTCCCTTTAACTGATTAAGAGATGTCAAATATTGACTACAATTTTTCAAAAACAAAAATAAAGCATAAAATATCATTTTAGCAGTGGTCACAAAGAAAAAAAGAAAAGCTAAAATAATATAAAAAAAAAATAATACAAAAGTGAAATAAACAAATGAGTAGAAAAATAACAATAAGCAACAAAACATAAATATCAGAATTCAGTAAACATCAAGTTCATGCATTTATGTCAATCACACATAATCTGGTCCTTAAGATACTGAAAGTGTCAAAAGTCAGTGATTTAGTAATGATGTCAGCCAGTTGATTCTCAACTTTTATATGGTGTAACTCGATGTCTCCTTTGGTCATATAGTCTCTAACAAAGTGAGAAATTATGTTAATGTGTTTGGTTATTGAATGTTGAATAGGATTCTTAGAGATATAGATGGCACTAATATTATCACAAAGGATTGAAATTGTGCATATAGGTAATCCTAAATCCAGAATTTATTATTTCAACCAAAGGACTTAGGCCACACAACTCCTTAAGGCAATGTACTCAGCTTCAGTAGTGAAAAGTGCAATAGAGTTTTATTTTTTACTAGACAATTAAGGAGACTAAAGACTGTCCTATGAATTAAAAAGTCTCATAAGTGCTCTTTATATCCACCCTATATCCTGCAAAATCAGAATCATACTATCCAATAATCTTAAAAGAAGTGTTGTGCCTAGGATACCAAATTCCTAAGTTTTAGGTCCCCAGAATATATTTTAGAATTCTCTTAACTCCAGTCACGTGAGATTCTTTAGGATTAGCTTAAAATCTAACACAAAGATAAACATTTAATCTTATATCAGGTCGGCTAGCAGTAAGGTAAAGTAAAGATCTAATCATCCATATATACTTTTTTTGATCAACATATTTTTCATTTGAGTCCTTATCCAACATAACACTAGAGGTCATTAGAGTATTCATTGGCTTGGCTTTATCCATTTCATATTTCTTCAAGATGTATTTTATGTATTTTTATTGATTTAGAAAGGTTTCATCATCCAATTGTATTATGTTAAACCCCAAAAAGTAGGAAGACTCTCCCATCATACTCATCTCAAATTT